GAGAGAGAGAGAGAGAGAGAGAGAGAGAGAGAGAGAGAGAGAGAGAGAGAGAGAGAGAGAGAGAGAGAGAGAGAGAGAGAGAGAGAGCATCTTTCCTTTATGTCCATGCTGATCTTAAGAACAATGATGTGCCGGCAGAATGCAGCAACCAATGTATGGCGATGCCATCCTGCGATTGCAAACATCAGTCAATGAACGGTGACATCAGTGTGAATGGCTCTGGGACATACAAAGACTGGATTATAGACCGTTCAACCGTGGAGTGGAGAGGAGCAGCAGGTTCCTTGGTGTAAGTACCGTGTTGAGACTTGCCCACACAAATACTGCAGGATATAATTGCGCACATCTTTCTCTCCTGCTCTTGTGCGGTCTCTATCTGGAGATGGTGGTGGGACACCCTGTTGGAAGAAAGTCACAAGATGGTGGTAGGACACCCTGTTGGAAGAAAGTCACAAGAGGGGAAGAAGAATAGCTCTGGGACTGGCACGCCATTCTCGTCAATCACTGCCCAGCCTCCATTGTGGAACCCTTCCACCAGAACATATTCAAGGTAGGATTGCTGGCTGTGATTTGGGCCCAGTGGAGACAACAAGGTATCCTGGCCCTCGAAAGGGTTCATGAGTCGGAGCACAGGACCAAGGCGCTGGTGAAGGAACTGATAAAACTAGAGCTTTGAAACTGTTAAAGTTGGAACGATACAGAGAAGATTAGCATGGCCCCTGTGCAAGGATGACACACAAAATTGAGAAATGGTCCAAAGTTTTTAATTTAAAAAAAAAAAAGATGGAAAGAAGTTAGACAGAAAAGGTAAGATCTGGAAGAATGAGATGGCAACCTGAAGAGAGTTAAAAAAGCAGACCTCCTCACTGGCTTTTCCCTGGACTCGCTTGCTCAGGGACAGACGAGAAAGGATCATGGCAAGGATCACGGAAGCGGGGACCAGAAAGCCGCACTGGTTGTTTGAGGACTGGACCTCAAACAACCCCTCACCCTGCCCAACCTCCAGCATTCCAGACCTTTTTCCCACCTCATAGTCTTGTAAGAGTGAATCTACAGTGGTTTGGTGTTGCAGATGCTGAGGTGGAGTAGGGGGCAGGGCCTGCTTGGGAATGTTTGTAGGGTTCTGTCATTTGCATGTGGATTGCTGCAAATGATTTTGTGTTGATTGTGTGTGTGCTGGGCTTGGCTGCAGCTGATTGGCTTAGGGTAGGCTTGGGAAGTTGCTGTTCTGGTGCCTCCGGTATCAAGTGAAAGGTTGGATCTTCCGACACGCTGACCTGGCTGTCAGCAGGTGCTGCTCCCCATTAATAAATGGAGCCTCGCTGCCTCGGCCAACGAGAAGGGAAGGCATGAAACTTTGGGGCCACCCTTGAACAGCAGGCTGCTCAGATATTTGAATTATATATTTTTCCTATTTTTCAACAGGAGGTGGGAAAGAGGGATAAGATCTTCAGCTTCACTTACTTTGTTAGATCTCCCGAACGTGCTGATCTGTTCTCCAGTTCAGCTCTCTCTCGAGTGCGGACTGTCTTATTCACAAGGTCTACCTGCTCCTTGGCCAAAGAAATCAGATTCTCCAACCTCTTCCACTGGAAAACCCCATTCTTGAAAAGAACCTGCACATGGTATGTGTAGGCATGGACCAACAAAATACAGCCGTGGGTTGGCAAACATATTAACTGCCATAATAAAGCGCCAATTGCTCACCCAATTTCAGCACACATACAAGTTGATACAGCTGGCATAACGCATCGGTGTGCCATGAGGCCCATGACCATCATTCCTGGTTTAGGGTTTCGGTTTGGTAACTATAGTTTACAAGAACAGGTTTTTTTTTTAAAGGAGACTTTAATACTGCAAGGAAATGAGCAATAGCGAGATGACGGAATCCAGATTGCACAATCACATTGAAAGCTAGAAAGTCCCACAGTGTCCAGAAAGAGCATTGCACCAATAATACACCAACGGAGAATCGTAACACTGAAACCGAATGTCAATGAGAGCTTACGCTCGTCTTCACCAACATAAGAGTCCAGGCCCTTCCCCCTACTTGGCGCTCGGCGCCCGGACTACTCCCCACACAGCTACTATCTGCGTACTAATTGACAATGCAACTGTTGATGTCAGCAGCCACCGAAGTACATGAAGATGTCGCCATACGCAGACCATCGCCAATACCAGGTATGAGCCCTCACATCATCATCCTCATCTCTCTCTCTCTCTCTCTCTCTCTCTCTCTCTCT